ATTAAGTCGCTCCACCCCCAAACCCTCTCTCCTGTAATGAGACTGCATTTTAACCTGTGGTCATAAACCATCTGACTAACAATTCAGAAAGTAATACGATGAAACCAGAGGGCTGTAATTAAAATAATATTAAATTGCCTGGCCGGTGTAGCTCAGTGGTTGAGCATCAACCTGGGATCCACGAGATCTCAGTTCGATTCCCAGTCAGGGCACATGCCGGGGGTTCGGGCTTGATCCCCAGCAAAGGGCGTTCAGGAGGCAGCCAATCAATGACTCTCTCATCATGGATGTTTCTCTCTCTGTCCCTCTCCCTTCGTCTCTCAGAAAAAAAAAAAAAAAAATTTAAAAACTTTTTAAAAATATGTATTAAATATATTTTATCCTTTAAAAAGAGCACACAGTCCTAAATGAAGTCCTAATGGCTTTACTACTTAGAAACCTCTAAATCCTTACCCTGGGTATGACCACAGTGATTCAAGATGTGATGTTTTTCAGAACATCCTGAGATACAAAGTGCTGCCCTCCCCTAATGAAAAGGCTCAAAGTAATATCCATCACCACAGAAGGAAAGATCGATTTTTAAACAAGAGTTTCCTGTTATACTTTCAAAGGTTATTTATTTAATACAAGTCTTCTGATTTTACTATAGTCTTACTAATGTGTAAACTGACCCGAGCTCAGTAATAAACACAAGAGTCATGTTATTAAAAAAGATTGTTTAAATACAAGAACATTTTATTTCATGTAATAAGCACAACATAAGAAAAATAAGAGCTACCTTTGGCAAGATTAGTAGAAATAGAAATATAACTCACAAACATGATAAGCATGTTCCCCTGATGTGTGGATTAGGCAGTAATATGGACACAACGTCTAGAGTCATATGCCCGAAGACTCTGGAAAAGGTGATGAAAGGGCAACACCATGACATGTGGTGAATCGAACCTTACACAAACCTAAGTTCAGTGAGCTCAACAGAAGGACTCGAAAAGAAAGAAAACCCGGAATCAGGTTATATATTCTAATAAAGTAAAACAACTGCAAATTAACCACCGCCATCGCCACCACCACAAAGGCTAGTCTCCAAACTCTGAATAAAGTGGTGACTAAAGACTAACACTGACTGTTTACTGTGTGTAACTTTCATATCTCATTTAATTCAAGTCACAGAGTATTCTTAATATAGGAGTTTTATACACAAGAAAAACAGGGACTAAGTTTTGGCTACCCATACAGTGTATAAATGCCAAGTTTCAGACAGGAGCTGTCAAAGCCACATCTAAAACGTAAATCAGCAGCCAAGCACCAACTACTTTACATGCGTTAGGTCACTTTAAAGGATGAAATGTTTTGAAATTTCATTTAATTTGTGGAAAAAGGTGTTTTCAAAAAGAAATCTTATTTAAAATCAATGCAACCTGCCTCCAAAATAGCGAGTTATGCCCTGGCCAAGGAGCTCAGCTGGTCAGAGCACTGTCCCAGAACACCAAGGTTGTGGGTCTGATCCCTGGTCAAGGCGCATACAAGCAGCAATCGATGAAAGATGCATAAATAAATGGAGCACCAAACTGATGTTGCGGCCCCCCCCACCCCAAATCAACAAAAACACCTTTAAAAAATAGTGAGTTATATTATGCCATGGTATAACCTTAAGAAAAAACAAATCCTGAACACAGAATCTAAGAAAATGAAACTGCAGTAATAGTTTACAGCAAAAGACGACAGCCCCATGTACACTTGTAACCATGAACACACAACTCAAGTTTAGTGTTTAACTGCAGCGTTACCCTATAAGAGTAAGGCTGGTGGGGTTGCTCAAGTTTGTTTTTCTGCACAAATTACCTCTTCTAAAGAGAAGAAAAAGAACTGGTGAGCCTCTGTGATGTGTGTCTGGCACTTTATTATGCGCCCTGTATTAGGTGGTACAGACTAATTTTTTACTTTAATAGATCTGGTTTCAATCTTTGCTCAAATATTTACAAGTTATGAGACCTTGGGAAGTCATTTGTGACTTAGGTTTCTCCTTAGTAAAATAGGTATTAAAATAGCTACCTCACAGGATTGTCATGAGGATTATATTATGCAGGTAGTAAAATTATTCTAGCTCTTGTCACATAATACATGTCCATTAAATATTAATATCAATAATAATAAAGTATAACCCTGCAGATTAGCTATTAAGAAATGAGCTTATAGGTGTAGTGATTTTGTTCAAAGACATATACATTTAGCAAATGTTAAAGCCAGTTTTGAAAACCCAAAGGCAGCAACACCTGTGCTCTCCTAAAAAGCATTTCAATGTTGTTAGTCTTTCCCTCTGTTCCTTCTGCTTCTTCAACTGGTCTTTTACAGAAGAGAAACTTATTTCATAGACACAAGGTATTTAAATGCTGGAAATGACCTTAGAAATCATCAAGCCAAGGGGTAGGCAAACTGCTTTCAACACAGACAAATCCCAGCTGATAGTTCTTGCCTGGAATGATGGGTCAAAAAGGAGGCTGCAGTGATATGACGAGAAGGATTTGAAGATTCTGAGAAGGGAAGAAAAAAAAACAAGACAAAACAGTGACAGCTGCCCAAGGCAGGGCGAGTTGATT